AGGGAGAGGGTCTACCTGAGACACACCTGAGGGAGCAAGACCCTGGGGTGGGAGGGGGTCTACCAGAGGAGGACCGGGAGCAAGGAAGAGCGGCGGGGGCGGGGGAGGGGCAGAGCGGTAGGGGAAGAGGTGGTAAAAGGGAACCGACTCGTCAAACGTGACGTCCTGAGAATGAAAGACACGGCGCGAGGTGGGGTGGTAAAACTGCCAGCCAGGCGCATCGGGGACAAAGCCAAGGAAGACGTAGGGGATAGCACAGGGGGAGAGCTTGTCCGCGGACGTATCGCGAACAAAGGTACGAGATCCCCAGACCCGGAACACCGACGCATCGCCAAACTCCCCCGTCCAAAGCAGTGTGGGCGAGGTCTCCGGCATGGAGACACGGGGCCAGAGGTTGAGCTGATGCGCAGCGTACCGGACCGCAAACGGCCACAGAAAATGGGGAGCAGCCGCATGGATGATGGAGGTACGAGCGACCTCCATGACTAAGCCAATGCGGCGCTCAGCAATCCCATTTTGCTGAGGGGAGTCTGGTAGCGTGAACGACTGGAGAATGCCCTCCCCACGACAAAATTCCCGCAAGAGGTTGGAGGAGAACTCACCACCTCTGTCAGAGTGCAGACGCAGGACAGGAAGGTCCTGGCCGAACCGCTCGCGGAGCTGGAGACGGACTGTGCGTATCCAAGGGATCAAGACATCAACGACCTGACCCTTGCTGCGCAAGGGGAAGACCGTGGTGTACCGCGTGTAGTCGTCAACTACCGGCAGAAAGTAGCGCTCGCGGCTCTGTCCACTGACGCGGGCTGGGCCCCACACGTCCATGTGGAGAGTCTGCAGCGGAGCAGTTCTCGGGGGAAACGACGAGGAGTGAGGAGCGGCGCGCTGCCGCCCCTCGACCCAAGGGAGGCAGGGCGGGGCAGGCGAGGGCGGCAGGGGAGGCAGAGACCTGGGGAGACCAGAGACAAGAAGACGAGAGTGCATGCCACGAAGGCGAGGCAGGGAGGGGTGGCCCAGGCGGTGGTGCCACAGAAGAGTCTGGTGCGTCAGGAGGCGACACGAGCAAGAGGCGGCTACCTGACCTGACGCGGACACCTGAGCAGACGCAGCTACCTGAGAAGGCTCGGTAGCGAGTGTGTACAGACTCGACCCTGGCCGAAGAGTGAATGTGGCCAGGTGACGGCCCGTCCGTGTGCACGTGCAGATCGACACACGCTGACCCCCAGGAGTGGTGGTAGTGACCATCGCATCCTGGAGGGCAGCGGTACTCACCAAGTTCGTAGAGAACGAGGGGAGGTGAAGACCTGACAGTGAGCCGGACGGAACCGCCGGACACGGTAGGACAGTGGAGGAACGGGCCACGACTGGTCCCCCGGAGGGGTCAGCCAGTCGGACCAGGACAGGTGCAGGAAGAGGAGTGAGGGTGGTGCTGTCACGAAAGAAACAGCGTGAGGCGCCGGAGTCCAATGTGAAAGTGTGCAAGGCCTCAGCAGGCGCAGTACCAGGGAGAGTACCAGACTCACTAGCACCTAGAGCAACAGCGACTATACCTGGGTCAGGCGGCACACACCGGTAACAGTCACCCTCAGCACTAACAGACAAAGCATACATAGCAGAAAGAATAGCATCAAAGTCTAGGTCAAAGATAGCAATCCTTGACCTAAGTAGATCTGACCAGCACGGTCACCCGTGCGAATGACATACGGGCAAGTACCCCCAGACGCCCCACGCAGAAACCACTCACGAAGCTGCTGGGGAGATGGGGTCTCGCTCCGACGCTGTTGCTGCTGACGCTGGCCACCCCCAGAACCGACACGCCGAGCGCCAGTCCCACCGCCACCACCACCTCCACTGCTGCCCCCACCACCACTCCCGCTGCCACCTCCACCACCGCCGCTGCCACCACCACCACCCCGGCCACCCTTGCCCTTGCTGCAACGGCGCTTCGCACTAGCAGAAGCAATCCCGACGTCCTCAGGAACAGAGACGTCTGCAGAAGCAGCAGAGGCGTAGGAGGGGGCAAGGGGGGAGGGGGAACAACCCTCAAAGAAGGGCTGGCGCGGAGTGCCACGAGCAGCACCTACAGCAACTGCACTAGTCTCAGCTGCAAGGAGATGCTGCTCGAGGAGGTCAACAGTGAGGGAGGTGGGGTCAAGAGAGAGGAAGTGGTCCCTGACAGAGCGAAGAGAGTCAGGGAGGCGGGTGACTATAAAGTAGAGAGTGATGTACATCGGGGCCGGGTTCCTGTCAAGGAACTCAGCAGGAACGGCAGCGCGGTAGCGAGCGTCACTAGCGCGAAGGTGGGAAACCAGGTCCTCGACTGTGGTAAAGGCGGACAGCTCGGGGAACAGGTAGGGCAGAAGGAGGCGGCCTAGAGCAGCAGTGGTAGGGGAGGAGTAGCGAGCGACTACATCATCGTACAGCGCCTGTGCTGTTCGAAGTGAGCACATTCAGCTAATGGCAGGTGGTTGCGAATGGCTAAGCGAGCAGCAGCGTCACGAGTAAGCCACTGTGAGCGAGTCGAACTGTCAGCTGTGGTGGGAGGGGCAGTAGCAGCGCCTGACGCTAGGTCAAACAGCGAGACACTATCCTTAGAATCGCTCAGTAGGTACACCTGCAGGTCGTCTAGCCACGTGTCGAACTGAACCGGTCTGCCCTCATGATCAAATGCGAGAACCCGAAGCGAAGCCGTGGCTGTGCAGCACGCAGGAAAGCAGTAGCAACTGTAGAAGTAGCAGTAGCAGCTGTAGTAGTAGCAGCAGTGACAGTGGGGCAAGGGGCCAACGGGGCCGAGCGCGGGGCTAAGGGTCGATAGGGGGCCGGGCGCGGGCTAGGGACGGGGCCGAGCGCGGGGCTAGGGGCCGACAGGGGGCCGGGCGCGGGCTAGGGACGGGGCCGGGCGCTTGGCTAGGGACGGGGCTGGGCGCGGGGCTAGGGGCCGACGGGGCCGGGCGCGGGCTAGGGACGGGGCCGGGCGCGGGGCTAGGGGCCGACGGGGCCGGGCGCGGGCTAGGGACGGGGCCGGGCGCAGGGCTAGGGGCCGACGGGGCCGGGCGCGGGCTAGGGACGGGGCCGGGCGCTGGGCTAGGGACGAGGCCGGGCACGGGGCTAGGGGCCGACGGGACCGGGCGCGGGCTAGGAACGGGGCCGGGCGCGGGGCTAGGGGCCGACGGGGCCGGGCGTGGGCGAGGGACAGAGCTGGGCGCGGGGCTAGGGGCCGACGGGGCCGGGCGCGGGCTAGGGACGGGGCCGGGCGCGGGGCTAGGGGCCGACGGGGCCGGGCGCGGGCTAGGGACGGGGCCGAGCGCTGGGCTAGGGGTCGACGGGCTGCGGGCTAGGGGTCGACGGGCTGCGTAGGCTAGGAGCGACGGGCCGGGCGCGTAGACTAGGGGCGACGGGCCGGGCGCGCGTAGGCTAGGGGCGACGGGCCGGGCGCGTAGGCTAGGGTCGACGGGCCGGGCGCGCGTAGGCTAGGGTCGACGGGCCGGGCGCGTAGGCTAGGGTCGACGGGCCTAGGGGCGACGGGCCTAGGGGGGGTACTAGCAGCGTAGCAGGTGGTGGGCCCAAGGAACCTGCTCTGATTCCATATCAAAGTAATGAACGAGAAATGAATGAACTAACAAACAGTTGGGTACAAGTACTAACCTTAATTGGGTTGTACCCCTTATGGGCTACCCCACTACAGCCTACACAAATGTATAAGGGTACATTCCGCTGTGGACCATGTCCCAATCGATGTGTCCCAATCACGATTTGCCCGAGTCGCGCTCAAATGTCTCGAGTTTGCATGTCCCAATCGATCGATGTATTGCGACTCTGTACAGACGCGCGACAATTATGTGCGAACGTTTGTGATTGGTCAGAGAATAAACATGCCCACTTGTCCTTGCGCAGCACATACACCAACACCTCCAGGTCCGCGGTAGATCCTTGGTGATGTCCAGGGAGGCCGCGGAGGGTACAGTACTCCTCCGCAGTGCCAATAATTGCCTCAACGGCACATACATCTGCAACTCCTCTTCTAGTACGTGAGTTTTTATAATCAAACATAGCACAGACACCATTACTACACACGCATAATCCACGCATGATGGCAGAGCCTAGAGCCATCCCCTTCATCCTACGCCTCCTCGTCGCCTGTGTCACCTACTACTACACCATTTTCTACGAAAATGTCGCGAAGTCCTTCGAAGGCCTCATAGAGTCCGGTGTGTTTGAGGACGCGGACGAGCAGTCCTCATCGTCCGGGGACGACACCGGGGAGAACCGCCGTCACAGAGCGAGTGTACGGCGGCGACGTCATGCTTTGTGGGTTGAAGACCTGCAACACATGCGGGAGAACGATTTCCAAGACATATTCAGGATCAACCGCGCCATACTTGAGCATGTAAAGTCTGGGATGCGACAATATCTAGAGCACATCGTCCATCGGTCGATAATCACAATGGACACTGCTTTGCTCATCCCAATAAAGTACTTGGCAAGTGGGATATCATACGTCGACATGTCGTACCTGTTCGGTGTCTCCAAGACACTCTGCCACGAGCTTGTTGACGTGTTCCTCACCGAGTTCCCTCGGTCTTCAAGGCCGCCTGGGTGCGCTTTCCCACACGCGATGAACTTCCCGAGATGGCGCGTGAATTCGCTGCCATCAAAGGTATACCTACAGTGGTGGGGGCTGTGGACGGGACTCACATCCACATGAAAGGGATGGAAGGGCACAGGGCGGAGTACTGGACAAGGAAGTCGGCCTACGCCGTTCAGCTCCAAATCACGTGTCATGCACGAGGCAGGATATGGGATTACCTCATCGGCTATCCCGGCAGCGCGCACGACATGCGGGTTTTCAAAGAGTCTGCACTACTTGAGAGGTTACACAACGGGGACATAGCCCCATACCAGATTGTTGGGGATGCGGCCTACCCGCTACGAGAATACTGCCTAACCCCCCTGCATGCTCCGCGCGGATAGGACCTAATGGACGATTGGGCCCAATGTTTCAACTACTGCCAGAGCGCCACACGCATGGCGGTGGAAAGGTGCATCGGCGCCTTCAAAGGGAGATGGCGCATCTTCGGCGGGCGCAACGACTGCAGGTTGTGGCGCATTCTCGCAGGAGCCGTGTGTTGTGTGATCCTGCACAACTTGTGTGAAGAGATGGCAGTCGTAAGGTGCAAGAACATGGCCTGGTTCAATCTGCCCCGCAACCGCGACTCTTGGTGGACCCGGGGTGCCATTGCGACACACAAGTGGGAACCCTGTGTTCCCCCAACACAACAGGCTCTCAGAGAGAGGCGGAAAAGACTGGGTGAGGCCCTACAGGACTCTTACGCTAATCGTCGGCGCCGCGCACCCATATATCCACATCCTCAGCACCCGGAGTGACGGTGTTGACGTCGCCAACATCTCGCCATGCTGTGAGCCTTCGGGAGGTGGTGCGGACTCCCCGCGTGGCGGAGGAGGGCTGAAATCCGGCGGCGCACGGTGCACGTCCGGGGGCGCCGATTCAGTCATGCGCTCGTGGGCAAGTCGCATGTCCTGCGCCATCCATTCATGGACGAGGCTTTCAATGCGCGTCATCGCGTCACCGTGACAATCCTTGATGGTCGCAGAGACCAGCATGGCTGCTTGCATGGTAGCCGTCTCATGCACCCGTGCGCGCCTAGGTGTTGCGGTGGTCGGCGGCGGCGGAGCTGTGATAGAGGAGCGGGGAAAATAGTAGAATCGATTAGTCCGACTACCCTTGTTTGGTGTAACCTGCATATTGGCGAATAAAATAAACGGATTCTTCGTATTCAAACTACGATAAGTCAAACGCATATCAAGCTAGAGGTGATAGAAGCACGACTCACCCGTAAAGGTTGGTGTTGACGTGCCTGGCTGAGACGAACTTGGAACCTCCATGCCGGCCGGCACGTTGACGTCCGTGGCGCCGCCGCCGTCCACCGCATGCGGTGCGGCTGCGGCGGTGTCCTGGTTGTGCAGCTCCAGGTACGGATACCACGGTGGTTTCTCAACCGAGCCGTGGCCTGACCCCCCGTCGCCACGCTTGTACTCCCGCCAGAGGAGCGTCAAGTTACGCCACTGCTTCTGCAACGCGTTGACACCCCTGCACCATCCAGGGTTCGACTCCTTGATGTGCGCGAGTAGTCGGACCCAGTATTGCGCCCCCTGCTTCCCCTTGAGAGACTCGAGCTCCTCTTTCATGAACCACTTCGCCGCGGCGAATATGGTGCTCTCCTTGTCCGACCATAAGCCCCTCTCGACTGGTGCAGCCGACCGCTTCTTCCGTGGCTCCTGGCGTGGCGGTGGTGGCGCCGCCTTGCCTTTGCCTTTGTTCCTCCCAGACGCGCGTGCGGCGCTCCGTTTCGGCGGCTGAGACACAGGTTGCGCTTCCTCCTCCGCGTCGTCCTCGGCGTCCTCATCTTCATCGTCGCCGTCGCTGGGCGACATCCCAGCGTCTTCCGGTTCCTCCTCGTCGTCGTCGGTGTCGAGGCCTTGTTCGGGGTCGTCATCATCGTCATCGTCAGCATCTTGCTCCACGACAAGCCGGTGTGTTGCAGCCGTCCTTGCAGGCTGACGGCGCACACGTGACGGGGCCGCACTGGGCGACTGTGCACTGGATCCCTGGCCGTCAAGCACGGGCGGCGCGGATAATCCCTTCGGATGGCGCCCGTTGGCGATCTGCTGGTTCATCCAGCGGATGTAAGGAATGTCGTTAAGATCCTTGGGGCAGTCGTTAAGGGCCTGCCCCTTACGCTTACGAGCCATGCTGGCGGATAGAGTGCTTCTAGATCTAGATCTTTAGGGAGCGGGAGCAGAGAGAAATGAACAGATTGGAACAGGAAGGATGGTGCACGAAGATGAACCCGTAAGGTGTTGGGAGGTGGAGGAGTTGTGGGGAAGGAGCATTGGAGCTGGGGGAAGGCGCGCTGGCGGGGATGTGCGCGTCCCTGTCAATAATTCCGGGTGTGTCGTCTGGACCAATCACTACGCAGTGTACGCGTTGATGGGGATAGTGGGTTTTGGGGAGATGTCGTCTAGATACATGCTGCATGTGTTGACATTTGGCACCGCGTGCGACTGATGGAATGTGCTGCAATTAGCTGGCGACTGCTCCGTGTTTCACGTCACACAATGATAAATACATTTGGCGACAACCACGGGCGGCCCGGCATTCTGACACATGGCAGCATATGCTGTACGTACGCGGCACAATCGATTCGGACACATCGATTGGGACATGGTCCACAGCGGAATGTACCCTAAGCTATAATGTTCTGACATTACACTGCTCTATCAATTTTACGGAAAAGTATACACTGCCCATAAGGGTTTTTGAAAAAACTACACTGCTAATCGTGAGTAGGCCAAATCCAAAACGAAGCCCTGGTGTAGGCTGTAGTGGGGTAGCCCATAAGTGGTACAACCCAATTAGGGTTAGTACTTGTACCAAGTTTCTGTTCAATGCATTCATTCTCGTTCAGTATTCTGACAATAAATTCTGATATCTCAGTCTCCCCTAAGGCTTTCCACTTAGGGTGCAGATGCAACCGCCCCAGCCTCAGTATACTCGCTAGTGTAAATACCACACGCACCGCACAGTCCTCGCGCTGCGCTTTAGCATGTTGGGCCGGCGATGCATCTCACTTTCGCTCTCGTTCCCCGTTTCCCGCGCGTTTCACCTCTCGCGAGTGACGCGTGTCACTGACACTCGCGGCAATTTAGCTAGTAGCTCGCAGGCGCTTGCCGTGATCCGCAAAATGCTTCAGAGAGGCTCGTGTCGCACCGAGGCGAGAGCTCCAGAGACGAGACGAGCACCGGGGTGTGAGCGAACAGCGGCGCGGCACAGCGGAGAGAGTAGCAGACTTGTAGGGAACATGTAGTAGCGACCGCCACTCGCTTGCACCATGTCAGGTCAGTCCCGCTCCACCGCTCTCCACCGCTCTGCCCGCCCTTCGGAAGAGAGCAACAGCCGTGAAACCGCATGGTATCGCTCTTCACCGCTGTCGTAGCGCCCCTCGTCGCTCTCTCCGTCGAGACCCGTGTCGCTGCACGGTCGCGCGGCGCGGAAGGAAAGGTGTTCCGCGAAGGCGGAAACCACCCGCGGCGTGCTCCGGAGTGCGCGCAACGGCGGTGCTGCCTGGGGGGAATGCGTTGCGCCAACTCGAGTCTGCCCCTCTTTCTACAGGGATCGTGGCGCTTGCGTCCTCCCCGCTCCTCCCCCTCGCCCTCCCGCACCTACCTCTTTCCGCCCTCTCTCCCGGCAAAGCCTGCCCCTCCGCGGCCCTCCCCTCGCGCGCATGTCCCCCGCAAGCCTGCGCCAGTGCATCTCGAGCTTCCTCATGCGCGTCCCCTTTCCCCACTTCCCCCCACCTCTCCCTCTCTCCCCCCTCTCAACCACACCTCCTCGCGCGCCTCCCGCCACGTCCATGTTTCTCATGCGCCCATGCGCCCAGGTGCCTGGCAGGCCTGCGCCAGCACACGCAACGGCGCTCAAAACGCCATCATCCCCCTCCACGCCCCCCCCCCCAACCACCCCCCCACCACCCCCCCCCACTACCTTCTTTCCACGAGCCTCTCTCCCCCCAGCATGCGCCAGTTCGTTATAGGTTGCCTGCCTTAGCTCCACTTTCCCGGCCCCCTTCCCCTCTCAGTCTTCCCTCCCTCCTCCCCCGTTCCCCCTTTTGCCTTCACCAGGCCGCCTGCGCCAGTGCATTGCTCCGCGGGTGGCGTGCGGATTCGCCTCCAGCAGCGACGATGAGGGGGAGGGGGGCGACGCTGGGCACCCCAGGGGGCGCGGAAGGAGGGGGGGCGCGGGGGGGAAGGGGAAGGGGAGGCGCGGAGCACCCGGGGGGCATGGTGGCGCGGGGGGGAGTTCCCGCCACCCGTCCCTGCGGATTGGCCCGCCAATGGACGTGCGCCAGGTGGCGTATCCACACGAGCCTGCTACGTTGGACCCTCTAAATGGCGGCCTGGGGGCCATGGGCATGGGCATGGGGATGGGGATGGGAGGAGTGCAGGGACAGCTGGTGACGCTGGCGCTGCCGATAGTCAGCTACAGCAGGTGCGTGGCTCTGCCTGTCTGTAGTCCACAATGGTTCCTCCCTTCGTTCTCCTTCCTGCCCACCTCTTCATTCCTTCCCCACCTCCCACCCAATGCCCACTCCATTCCATTCTCCTGCTGCTCTCCCTCACACATTTCACTCTGTTCCCCACTGCACCAACACCTCCCAACCCCCTCCAACCACCTCCACTCCCTGGCTCTTTGTGGGCAGCAAGGTAGCGGTGGGCGTGTCTGGCACACCTCCCAACCCCCCCCCCCTCCCCTCCCCCTTCCATCCCTCCTCTCTCCCCCTCTCCCTCCCCACCCTCTCCCTCCCCCCTCTCTCCCTCCCTCCTCTCTCCCTCCCCCCTCTCCCTCCCCCCCCCTCTCCCTCCCCCCTCTCTCCCTCCTCCCTCTCCCTCCCCCTCCTCTCCCTCCCCCCCCTCTCCCCCCCCCTCTCCCTCCCCCCCTTCTCCCTCCCCCTCCTCTCCCTCCCCCCACCTGGTGCATGCAGCAAGATAGCGGTGGGCGTGTTTGGGGAGGCACCGGAGGACCTGCCGTGTTCATACGACGACTATGGCAACCTCGTGCCCAACGTGCTGCTGCAGCTGCAGGCGCTGCTCATCCACAAGGGGGGGCTTCAGGTAAGAGGAGAGGAGAGAAGAGAGAGGAGAGTGGAGTGGGGGTTGTGTGGGGTTCATGGGTGTGGGGTTGATGGGTGTGGGGTTGATGGGTGTGCGGTTCATGGGTGTGAGGTTGATGGGTGTGGGGTTGATGGGTGTGGGGTTGATGGGTGTGGGGTTGATGGGTGTGGGGTTGATGGGTGTGGGGTTGATGGGTGTGGGGTTGATGGGTGTGGGGTTGATGGGTGTTGGGTTGATGGGTGTGGGGTTGAGATGGAAGTGGAGGCGGGCAGGGAGGAGGCAGCCAAGGCTGCAGTAGAAGGGGCCGATGCCTCGCACACCCACTCCCCTTTCCCCGCCCCTTGTCTCTGCATCCTTTCCTTATTTCTCTTGGCTAACTAACCACCCCCACTCTCCCTTCCTGTGCCCATCAGACGGAGGGCATATTCAAGGTGGGGTGGGCAGGGAGGAGGCGTTGAAGGCAGTAGAAGAAGGAATCTATGAGCCCCCCTACACTCCTTGCTGCCCCCTGCATCTATTCTACCCTTCCCTTTGCAGCCTCCCTTACACTCTTTGCTGCCGCCTGCACTCGCCTCTCCTCCCCATATGCGCCCATCAGACGGAGGGCATATTCAGGGTGGGAGTGGACGTCGGGAGGGAGGAGGCAGCCAATGCAGCAGAGGAAGAAACCCATGCCTCGCACACCCACTCTCTCTTTCCTGTTTTTTTGTCGCTCCATCCTCCCATGTTGCTCTCTACGTCCCTCGTGGCAAACCACTCCCATTCCGTCTTCAGATGGAGGGCATATTCAGGGTGGGAGTGGAGGCGGGCAGGGAGGAGGCCGCCAAGGCAGCTGTGAATGCGGGGCAGATCCCGCCCTCCACTGACGTGCACTGCCTTGCAGCGCTTATCAAGGTGAGGGAAAGCTCTTATCAAGGTGAGGGAAAGCTCTTATCAAGGTGAGGGAAAGCTCTTATCAAGGTGAGGGAAAGCGCTTATCAAGGTGAGGGAAAGCTCTTATCAAGGTGAGGGAAAGCTCTTATCAAGATGAGGGGCACTACCAGCCTGCCCGCCTGTCCGCCTGCCTGCCTGCCCACCTGCCTGCCTGCCCGCCTGCCTGCCTGCCCACCTGCCTGCTCGCCGGTGTTGGTCACATCAACACAAGGCAGACTGCTGCCTCTGTGATAAATGGCGAGTTAGGTGTGAGAAGATTGTGAGAGGAATTACTGTATTCGTGAAGGAAGAAGAGAGTGCAAGCTGAACAAAAAGAGCTGGTCAGAGGGCCCGTGGCGAGAGGGTGGCACTGGAGAGGTGCTGTGGCAGGGAGAGGTGCTGTGGCAGGGAGAGGTGCTGTGGCAGGGAGAGGTGCTGTGGCAGGGAGAGGTGCTGTGGCAGGGCGAGGTGCTGTGGCAGGGAGAGGTGCTGTGGCAGGGAGAGGTGCTGTGGCAGGGAGAGGTGCTGTGGCAGGGAGAGGTGCTGTGGCAGGGAGAGGTGCTGTGGCAGGGAGAGGTGCTGTGGCAGGGAGAGGTGCTGTGGCAGGGAGAGGTGCTGTGGCAGGGAGAGGTGCTGTGGCAGGGAGAGGTGCTGTGGCAGGGCGAAATGCTGTGGCAGGGAGAGGTGCTGTGGCAGGGAGAGGTGCTGTGGCAGGGAGAGGTGCTGTGGCAGGGAGAGGTGCTGTGGCAGGGCGAGGTGCTGTGGCAGGGCGAGGTGCTGTGGCAGGGAGAGGTGCTGTGGCAGGGAGAGGTGCTGTGGCAGGGAGAGGTGCTGTGGCAGGGAGAGGTGCTGTGGCAGGGAGAGGTGCTGTGGCAGGGCGAGGTGCTGTGGCAGGGCGAGGTGCTGTGGCAGGGAGAGGTGCTGTGGCAGGGAGAGGTGCTGTGGCAGGGAGAGGTGCTGTGGCAGGGAGAGGTGCTGTGGCAGGGAGAGGTGCTGTGGCAGGGAGAGGTGCTGTGGCAGGGCGAGGTGCTGTGGCAGGGCGAGGTGCTGTGGCAGGGAGAGGTGCTGTGGCAGGGAGAGGTGCTGTGGCAGGGCGAGGTGCTGTGGCAGGGCGAGGTGCTGTGGCAGGGAGAGGTGCTGTGGCAGGGCGAGGTGCTGTGGCAGGGCGAGGTGCTGTGGCAGGGCGAGGTGCTGTGGCAGGGAGAGGTGCTGTGGCAGGGAGAGGTGCTGTGGCAGGGAGAGGTGCTGTGGCAGGGCGAGGTGCTGTGGCAGGGCGAGGTGCTGTGGCAGGGAGAGGTGCTGTGGCAGGGCGAGGTGCTGTGGCAGGGCGAGGTGCTGTGGCAGGGCGAGGTGCTGTGGCAGGGCGAGGTGCTGTGGCAGGGCAGGGCGAGCCTTTTCCGGGCGAGGTGCTGGCTGGCTCTCTTCATCGCCCTCCTCTCCCCCTCCCCGTCTCCTCTTCTCTCTTCTCCTCTTTTCTCCCCCTCCCCTCCTCCCCTCCTCTCTCCTCTCCCACCCTCCCCCCCCCGCCCTCCATATAACCTAGGCCTGGTTCCGGGAGCTCCCAGACAGCCTCTTGGACGCACTGCCGCTCTCCCTGCTCGCCTCGGCAGCGGACCCACACAGGGTGAGGTGCTGGCAGCAGAGGGCCAACTCTCTTCCTCTCCCTCTTCCTCTTCTCCTCCCTTCCCTCTCCCCCGTTCCCCTCCTCTCCCCTCCTCTCTCCTCTCCGTTCCTCCCCCCTTCCCCTCTCCCCTCCGCCCTCCTCTCCCCAGGCCTGGTTTCGGGAGCTCCCAGACGGCCTCTTGGACGCGCTGCCGCTCTCCCTGCTCGCCTCGGCAGCGGACCCGCACAGCGAGGAGGGCGGCGGCATGGCGGACGTGCTGGGAGTGCTGCCGCCCGCCTGCAGCTGCCTGCTGGACTGGCTGCTCAACCTGCTCGTGGATGTCGTGGAGTGCCAACACCGCAACCACATGGGCGCCCGGGCTCTCGCGCTGGTGTTCGCGCCGAACCTCGTGCAGGTGGGCCTGCGTTGAATTTTGAGTCGACTAAAGAATCAACCGGCTTGTGGATGTGAGCTAACCGCGCACCACATGGGCGCCAGAGCACTCATGCACTGGCGTTTGTGCCGAACCTCTGCCTTCCCTGCTTGATGCCCCATTTGTGATCTTTCCATCTCCTATCTACCAATTCCTTCTTCCTTGCTTGCTCCCCTATCCTCTTCTACTCACAAGCCTTCCCCTTCCCCGCCCTTTCCTCATCTCCCCACCCCTCCCCTCCCCTTCCCCCCCTCCCAAACCAGGTGGGCGACCCCTCCGCCAGTCCAAAGCGCGCCATGCTGCTCATGGGCTTCGTATAGGCGCTCATTGTATGCACCCTACCTTCCACTCAACCCTCTCCTCCATCCCCTCTCCGGCCCCTCCCCCCTCCTCCCCTCCCCCGCCCTCCCCCCCTCCTCTCCCTGCCCGGCTATCCCTGCCCCATCCCACGTCCCCCACCCCACCAGGTGTACGACCCCACCGCCTGTCTCCAGCATGCCATGCCTCTCATGGACCTCCCAGAGGCGCTCATCGCCCGCACCTTCTCACCACCATCTCCCCCCCCTTCCCGTCCCCACCCCCTGCCCATCCCCTGCCCGCTCCCCTCCCCACCTGCCCACCCCACCAGGTGGGCGACCCCGCGGCCAGTCTCAAGCACGCCATGCTGCTCATGGACCTCCTAGAGGCCCTCATCGCCCGCACCCTCTCACCACCCTCACACCACATTCTGCCTGCCCCCTTCCCCTCCTCCCTCTCCCCCCCCCTTATCAAACCAGGTGGGCGACCCCGCAGTCAGTCTAAAGCGAGCCATGCTCCTAATGGACCTCCTAGAGGCCCTCATCGCGCGCAAGCACCGCCACCGCCAGCTGTTCGCGCACCACTGGCCGGGCGGGGGCGGCCGCGGGGGCGCGTCAGTGCTGTCAGCATCGGCGTCAGCGATGGATGAGTCGGAGGACTGGGAGGACACGGACCTGGACTCGTCGCTCAACTTCTCGCTGCTCTCAGGGGCGCATGGGGGTGTGGGGGGGTTTGGAGGCGCAGCGGGAGTGGAGAGGCCGTTTGGGGCGGGTTCGATTCGGAGTGGGGCCGGTGGTGGTGGTGGTGGTGGTGGTGGTGCGTCGTTTGGGTCGGCTTCGGTTGTCCATAGCCCACGCACTGCGCTGATGCTCAGAGCGCTGGCAGCGGCTGGGCTAGGCGTGGGGGGGAGGGCAGTGGGAGGCGGTGCGGGGGGAGGGAGAGTGAGGAATCAGAGTGGGGAGTGGGAGAGTGAGAGTGTGGGAGTGCGGTCAGGATATTCGTCACCCTCCCCTGCAACGTGGAGGGGAGGGTTTTCTCTGAGGGCAGGGCGGTCGTGGGCTGTGGGCAGCGATGGGGGGGAGGGGCTGGGGTCAATATCTGAGCTTTGCCCTTTAGAGGATGGGGAGGAGGATGGTGAGGGGGATGGGAAGAGGGATGGGGAGGGTGGTCGGATGGAAGGAGGATTGGAGAGTGAAGGTGTGGAGGGAAGAGAATGGCTGGGTGGGACGAGAAAGAGTGGGGATGGGATGGGGAGGAATGGGGGGAGAGGAGATGGAGGGGTGGAGGGAGTGGAGGGACTGGCAGGGGCGGCAGGGGAGGGGCGTGGGGGGGATGGTCGGGGGGATGGGCATAGAGGAGAGGCGGGGAGTCGTTTGGCAGAGTGGCTGAGGAATATTGATGAGGCCGTGGGGGAGGGGGAAGGGGACGAAGCGTTGGGGGAGGGGGAAGGGAGTGAAGCGGAGGGAGAGGGGGGAGGGGAAGAACCGGAGGGGGAAGGGGAAGGGGACGAAGAGGAGGGGGAGGGGGAAGGGGAAGGAGAGGAGGGAGAGAGGGAAGGGGACGACGAAGCGGAGGGGGAAGGAGAAGGGGAAGTAACAGTTGAGGAAGAAGTAGAAGAAGCAAAAGCAGGGGAGGAGGACAAGGACTTGGAAACTGCAGGGACAGGCATGGATGAGTGTGTGGAGGAGGGAGAGGCAGAGGCAGCAGCAGAAGCAGCAGTGTCACCAACACTCGCTTGTGACTTGCCGCTTGCAACAGAAACTTTGTTGCCTCTGCCACAGGGGCCAGATGCATGCAGTGATGCTGATGGTGATGATGGTGGTGATGGTGGTGATGATGGTGATGGTGGTGATGGTGGTGATGGTGGTGATGGTGGTGATACTGACGATGGCACTGCTTGTGGAGATGAGAATTTGGATGGGGATGAGGATGTCAACGAGGGCAGTGGTTTCAGTGATGACGTGAATGGTGCAGACGCTGCTGCTGATGGTGATTTTAATTCCAGAGCAGAGGTCGATGCCAGTGCTGATGCTGATGGTGATGGTGATGGTTGCGAGCACGCGCATGATGGCATTGACTGTGGAGTGGATGGTGCCAGCAATCACGTGCAGGGAGCACACAGCTCTGAACCTACTCATGACCACACAGGCGGTGCTCACAGTGACAGCACTCATCCTGCCTCTGCCCCCACCACAGCTGCTCGTGAGGCCTCGATGCAAAAGCGCGTTTCGATTTCCGACTCTTCTTCGGACGCTCCTCCCCAGCTCTCTTCTTCCCAACCTCCATTTCCTCCCTCCACTCTTCCATCTGCCACCCCGGCTGCCTCGCTCCTGCCTGCCACGGCTCTCTCTGCTCCACCCGCTGCTGCTGCAGGCGCCAAGCAATGCGCTGCTGCACCTGCCTCTGCCTCCTCTCCCCTCCTTGCCAGCATGCTCCTCGTGCTCGCTGCCATGCACACCACCCCTCCCCTGCACCCCTCCCTACCGGCTTCAACACCTCTTGTCCCCACTCCCACCGCTTCTGTTGCTGCTGCTGCCGCAGACGCTGCAGCGCCATCCCAAGGCCACACGGGCCCTCCTCTTGCGGCCGCTTTGCTCCACCCCCCCTCCGCGGCCCCCTCTCCCCCTCCGGCTGTACTGGAGCCAGGCCAGGTTCTTGTGCCCCCTGCCAGACGCAGCAGAGCACCCGCTGCTGCGAGCACTGCTGCCTCCGCTGCTGCTGGCGCTGCTTCTGACGCTGCAGCTGATGCTGTTGGCAGCACAGGGCAAGAGGAGGGGAGTGGGCGGGGAAAGAGGGTCTTGAAAAAGTCGGGTGCAGGGCGAGGCAAGGGCACAGCAGCGGCAGGCAGGGCAGGAGAAAAGGGCGCTCTAAAGGGGTTGGGCGAGGTTAAGAAGGTGGGTGGAGAGGGATTGACGAAGGCAAAGGGTAGAGAGAGAGGTGGTGGAGTCGTGGCAGGTGCCGGGACGAAGAAGAGGACGGGTGGTGCTGGCAAGGCAGTGGGGGCGGCGGAGGGGGATGTTGGGATAGTGGAGGAGCAAGGGGCGGAGGATAGGGCCTGCCTGGTCGAATCGCTGGTAGATGAGGGGCTGAGACACGGTGAGCAAGAGGCAATGGTTAAGGATGGAGCAACAGCAGCAGCAGATGCAGACAAGGCAGTAGCTGCAGTAGGCAAGAGGACAGCAGCTGGCAAGGCAGCAACAGGCAAAGCAGCGGCAGCAGGCAAGGCAGCAGCAGCAGGTAAGGCAGGGAAGAAGGTGGTTAGCAAGGGGAAGGGCAAGGCTGCCAAGGTTGCTGACAGGGCACGAGCGGAGGCGGAGGCAAGGCGGGGCGCAGAGGGGATGAGGGCAGGCGCGGGTAAGAGCAGCAGTGCAGTGGCGGCAGCGGGTGGCAGCATGGGTGCTGTGGCAGGTGGTGGTGGGGCGAGCAAGGGAGGGAAGGTGAAGAAGAGTGCGAGGAAGGCAGTGGCGGAGATAGAAGAGATAGAGGAGATCGAGGTAGTGGAGCAGGAGGGAGGGGTGAAAAAACACGGGCAACCCAAGCGTGCCACCGCCGCCGCCACCAGTGCTGCTTCCGCTGCTGCCGCTGCTGCTCCCAAGCCTTGCAAGCGTCGTGAGGCAGCAGCAGCAGCAGTTAGTGGCGGCGGTGACGGCACTGGCAGCACTGCCGCCCGCAGGGAAGTGGCATCTGAGCAGGTCGTGTCTGAGAGGAGCGGCAGGGAGGCAGCGGGGGGAAAGGGGAAGGGGAGGGTTGGCGAGACGGGGGCGAGTGGCAACGGTGGTGGCGGCACAGGCAGCGCCGTGAGGCTGTCTGGTGGAGGGGTGGAGGGGCGAGCAGCGAGGGGTGGTGGGTCAGCGAGGGGTGGTGGGGGTGGAAGAGCAGCAGGGAGGGAGGCGGCAATGAGGGAGGCGTTGGGGAGGGAGCTGGCGTGGATGCAGCGAGTGAGGGAGATGCAGGGCGGGGAGTGGGGCGAGCGCTGGCAGCGGTGGCTGCAGGAGAGCGAGGAGAGTAGGAGCGAAGGGGGGAGCAGGAGGGGGGGTTCAAGGGAGGGCGTGCATGTGTTTGGGGAGGGGACTGCTGTGCGGGAGAGGATTAGTGAGTGGGAGAGGGCTCTTGCGCTTGCCCGTGCTGCTGTTGATGCGGAGGGGAAGGCAGGGGGGGAGGCAGGAGGCGGAGGGGAAGCAGGAGTGGGCGAGGGAGGTAGAGGAGACGTGGGGAGTGGTGGGAGGCGGGGTGGGAGTGGTCATGGGAAGCGGCACGAGGTTGGGGAGGAGAAAGGCGGGGGTGAGAGGGGTGGGGATGGGAGGGGACGGGGTGAGAAGGGTGGGGATGAGAGGGGAGGGGGTGAGAAGAGGGGGCAGCAGGGGGAGCAAGAGGAGAGCAGTGAGTTGTGGCGGTGGAGGAGGGCGCTGGCAGGGCGTGTGGGGGGAGGAGGGGGAGGGGGAGGGGGAGGGGCGGACAGGTTTCAGCCGGCGTGTGTGCTGCCGCCACTCTCCTCTGCCCACCGCTCCCACGGTGCTGCCGCTGCTGCCGGTGGGGCACGTTTTGCACCCCATGCTCATGCTCGTGCCTCCCTTGCACACGCACCGCCTGACTTTGAGCTGCTAGAGGAAACACCAAGGGGTGTGGATGTGTGGCGGCGCTCTGAAAGCACGCCCGGTGAAGGCGAGGCAAGGATGGCAGAGCAGGCACGGGAGCACGGCTCTATGGTTCATGGCCACGAGCAGAGCAGCGGTGCAGCACCTGACAATTTGCTCCCTGCCCACCCCCCACCTGGCCACCCACCTGGCCGTTCACCTGAGAATCAGTGTGTGCCGCCCAGTTTGCCGGCTTCAGGTGGTGGAAAGGCAAAGGGGAAGAAAGGGGCGAAGGGAATGGGCAAAGAGAAGGCGGGTTTGGCAGAGCAGCAAGGGGCTGGGGATGGAGCCGAGGCGAGAGGAGCAGTGGAGGGGAGTGGGGGCAAGGGAGAGAAGGGGAGGAAGGGGAGAAAGAAGGCAATGGCGGCAGCAGTGGTGGCGGAGATGAGGAGGAGGAAGGGCGGATGGGGGCCACAGGAAGAGGGGGAGGGAGACTTGGAGGGTGTGGAGAAAGCAGCGGGTTGTGAGGTAGCAGCAGGTGGGGCAGCGGTGGTGGGTGTGGCGGGCAGGAGTGCAGCAGGAGAGGAGCAGGTGGAGGTGAGGCCACAGGCAACCGCTGGGCAACCGATTGAGAGGGATGAGCAGGAGGGGGAGCAGAGCGAGCAGAGGGAGCAGTTGCAATGCGAGGCTCCAGAGGAGGCTGTGCAGAGGAGCATTGTTGGTGTAGGTGGCAGGGATGGCGGCATTGGGGAGGCTAATAACAAAGGCAGGCGGTCAGGGGAGGGAAATGCAGATGGTACAGCCGGTGGTGTGGTGGTGAGCCAACAGAGCCAACGGGGGGCCAGCAGAGCCAGCAGCCGCAGCAGCAAGAGCAGGAGCAGCAGCAGCAGCGGCGCCAGCACCCCTGCTCCCACTAATCGCCTCCTCTCGCTCCCCGCACCCAACTCTCTCCATCCCGCCCGCCCGTCCGCCCCCAAGCCCTCTCTGCTCATGCCCGCCCCCTCCTGCATCGCCCCTTCCGCCCGGCCTCACTCCTCTGCTGCCGCTGCTTCCTCTCCCCGCCTGCACAACTCCCCTGCCTCCTCCTCTCTCCCCTCTCCCTCCCTCCCCTCCCCCTCCGCCCCCCACTCCACTCGCCGCCGCCTCTCCTTTCAACCGCCCACCGCTGCCTCTGGGCCCCCACGTTCCTCCATCCCCTCCCATTCCTCCTCCCTTCTGCACTCCTCCATTTCATCCCAGTCATCCCACACCCTCACTCCCTCTCACTCACACACTCCCTCTACTTCCTCACTCATATCCTTCGCCTCTCCTCTCCCCTCCTCCACCCTCTCTCACCCCTCCTCCAGCCCCTCTGCTGACGCCTCTCTCTCCCACCTCCCTCCCCGTCCTTCCTCCCGCCGCCCTCCCCCCATCCTCCCTCCCTCACGCCGCCACCCCTCCACCCTCCTCAACAATTTCACCCCTTCCTCCTCCCACTCCTCCCCCCAACCAACCTCCTCCTCCCTCTCCTCCCCCCACCTTCCCTCCTCCGTTTTCTCCCCCCACTCGCCCACCACTTCAGACTGCCCTGCCTCTCAGCTCGTCCCCCCACCCTCTCAAAGCGTCCCCCCACCATCTCTACCTCCCCGCAAGCACCCATTCGCCCTGGGCGGCAGCAGCAGGACGCTGGTGAGAGTGCCGTCTCCAGCAAAGGAGGCTTGTGAGACAGGTCAAGAGCAGCAGCACAGCCCTTTCGCCGGCAGCAGCCGGGCACTCGTGAGAGTGCCGTCTCCAGCAAAGGAGGCTGGTGAAGGGGGTCCACCGCAGCACATAGCTGCCAGCAGCAGCAGTGCCCTTGTTGCATCTATCGCTGGTACTGCCCTTGCTACAGTAGCCTCGCCTACCAAAGAAACACCTGCCCCCTCTCCTTCCTCTCATGCAGCAATTATCTTTTCTGCCAAGAAGCCACCTTCACCAGATAGAACCTCCCCTTTGGGTTTCCCTGCCAGGCACTCGGTGCTAAACAAGAGGCTTGGCCAGATGCCACCTTCACCAGATAGCCCCTCCCAACACAGATCTCCATCTCAAGCTGCTTTTGGCTCCCCTGCTTCTGCCACTCCCCCTCATTCGCCCTGCCATCATGGTACCTCCCCTCACTCCCCGAGAAGGCACCCCCCCTCGACCGTACCTGCCTCCTCTTCTTCTCTGCCCCACCTGCATCTGCCTGCCTCAACATCCCTGCCGCCTGCACCCACCTCACCTGCACCAGTCTCACCTGCACCCGCGTCACCTGGTGCCACGAGCCAAGCTGCAATGCCGGCCAATCAGGGCGCTGCTGCCCGCTCCGCCTTTGGGCAAGGAGAGGGCGCTGCTGAGACGACTACAATTCCCCTCCTCATGCCCCCCTCTCGGGCATACACCCACCGGTCCTCCCCTCTTCGCGCTCCTACTGGCGGATCGTTGATGGATAATGAAGGCTCGTCGCGAGTTTCATCCTTCTGTGACCGCGTTACATCTCCAAGAGGCGTTTCGTCTCACAGTGGCGTTACATCTCCTCATATTTCCCGTGCACTGAACGAGGGTAGGGGGTCATTCCCACCCAGAAGCCTCTCATACCCTCATAGCCTCGTTTCACCTCCTGCTGCATCCGTTTCATCTTTGAATGCATCCATTTCACCTCCCAACTATAACATAATATCTTCTCCCAGTTCCGTGTTGGCCTCTCAAAGAAGCATCCCCATCACGACACACTCTAACACCTCACTCGCCAACCTCCATACTAGTGCAGCCGCAGAAAGTCACAAGCAGCTCAGTGGCTCTTCTTCCCTCGCCTCCCCCCATCCATTGTTTTCTGCCTCTCGTCCAAAATGCCGCTCCTCGCCACCCGCCAACCCTCCACCTCCCTCCCACTTGCCTCGAGCGCTGTCAGTGTCCTCCCCAAGCCATCCCTCCCTCGCACTGCCCTCCTCCTCCCCCCTGCATCCTTCCAACTCGAGTCTTGCTTCTCCAAGACAGCCCCCTACCTCATCCCCAAACACTCCCTGTCGCCCCTCCCTTCAGAAACAGCACTCCTTCCCTCCTTCCTCCACTGCCCACGCACGCCCGTCCGCGCCTCTCCCTCCTCCCCCTCCGGCAGAGCCCTCTCCTCGGCCCCCAAGTTCCCACAATCCCGATTGCCATCCCACCCTCTCCTCCTCTCCTCGCCTCACACCCTCTCTTTCTCGAGCCTCTCGCTCCTCCACGTCCTCCCGCTCCTCTGCCTCTCATGCCTCCTCCCCTCATGCTTCCTCCCCTCATGCTTCCTCCCCTCATCCTTCCTCCTCACGTGCTTCTTCCTCTCATGCTTCATCCCCTTGCGCTTTCTCCTCTCATGCTTCTTCCTCTCATGCCTCCTCCCCTCATGCTTCCTCCTCTCATGCCTCCTCCCCTCACGCTTCCTCCTCTCATGCCTCCTCCCCTCATGCTTCCTCCTCTGACGCTTCCTCCTCCCATGCTTCCTCCTCTCATCCTTCCTCCTCTCATCCTTCCTCCTCTCATCCTTCCTCCTCTCATCCTTCCTCCTCTCATGCGTCCTCCTCTCATCCTTCCTCCTCTCATGCGTCCTCCTCTCATGCTTCCTCCTCTCATCCTTCCTCCTCGCATCCTTCCTCCTCTCATGCGTCCTCCTCTCATCCTTCCTCCTCTCATGCGTCCTCTTCTCATGCTTCCTCCTCTTCCTCGCCTCCCTCTCGCGCCTCCACCTCTCTATCCTCCCTGCCCTCCCTCCCCTCCCTCGGTTCCGATAACACACAATCGATGGAACCACCAAAGCAGCTGCAGGAACCACCACAGGAGCACCAGCAGCAGAAGGATGGGTTAATGGGTGCACAGAAGTCAGTGTTGCAGATACGGGGAGGGGATGGAGAAGCAAGACGTGAGGTGGAGAAGGGTTGGATGCGGCCCAACGGCTCAAGCAGCAGCAGTGAGAGTGAGAGGTGCTGTGAGGAAGGGCGATGGAAAGGGGCAGAGCAGAGTGGTGCGGTAGGAAGTGGTGCGGTGGGAGGTGGTGCGGTGGGAGGTGGTGCGGTGGGAGGTGGTGCGGTAGGAGGTGGTGCGGTAGGAAGTGGGAAGGACAGGGGAGGGGCCAGAGAGGCAAGGCGGCGGCTGGATGAGGAGGGCAGTAGCAGCTGCAGCAGTCGGAACGCGGTGATCAAGGGGGGAAGGAGAGAGGTGCGCGGAATTGAGGTGGGGGAGAAGGCAAGGCAAAGGAGAGGAAACGCCAGGGCAGACAGGTGTGAGGAGGAGCAGATGGGTAGAGGCAAGCCATGGCACCGAGCTGATGACAGGGTGAGGGCTGGTGAGGCTGTGGTGGGGAGAGAAGGGCAGAATACAGCTGCAGAAGAGCAGGAGACACATGGCTATTGGGCGAATGATGGGGTGGAAGAAAATGGGAGAGGGAATGAGCTTGTGCCAGTACACTGCAAGTCCTCTGACTCCTCTGACCCGTCTGACCCCTCTGACTCCCAGACGGTACCCCCAGTGGCTGGGTGGCCTCTGGGCCTTGCCTCGCACCCAACGAGGCACCCAGAGCGGCGGTATCAGGGGAATATCTAAGAATCAGCACGTGATTTATGTGACAAACAGCACGTGATGTGGGGTGGTACAGTGGTACTACGAGATTACGTCAGCAGAGGAATGGGAGTAGGACTTATGGTGCTGCCAGTGACATCGGAAAGAGCTTGTGCCAGTACACTGCACTGCACTGCACTATGTGTGCATAGTATGGTACCGTAATCCTCGGTATACTAGACCCCGGTTGCAGTAAAAAATTCATGAAAAAAGGGGTTGGGTGCACTCTTTTGAAAAAAATTAGTGCACCTGGGTGTAATATTTGTTGGGTTGAGAAAAGCCCTTAGGAACTTTCAGGACTAAGATCAGGTGTTGACGTAGAGTTGTAACAGCGGAAGCGTTTAATAAAGAGTTGTCATGAACCACCTTGTACTAGTGTGTGAGAACAAGATAAGTTGATAATAGTAGAGAAGTACAAGGCTTTTATATGATTACAAAGGAATATTGAAAGTTCTATTTTAACTGTTTTTGCTGTTGCGGTTCGATACAGTGCCGACTCGGGTAACTGCTCTGTAACGAGTCAGTTATGTGTCCTTGCTGTCGCACTGTACGTTTCGTCAGGTCAAAGGTCGGAGACCTTTGACCTTCGCGCAACCTCCGAAGGTTGACTCGAGTACTACTTCGCTGTAGTCAGTTCCGTTTTGTGTCGAAGCTTCGATACGACAGAAGCGTTATAAATCACTTGTTTCCAACACTCCCCTTCGCTTCTGGAGGATCGTTGCTGATGACGTGTCCTTGCCCAGTCAGCAGCATGCAGTACTCGAACTTCTGTTTTCCAAGTTTCTTGGTCAAGTATTTGGCTGCCATCTCGGATGTGGGACAGTAGGATAGTTCAAGTCTTCCCTTTTCGATCTCGTCTTTCACGAAGAAGTACCGAAGGGCGATGTGCTTCGTTCGATTCGCGAACCCGTTTTTGTTCGCTATGCGAATGGCCGATTGGTTGTCGCAGAAGAGAGAGAAATTGGGTAACTGGGCCAATTTTGCTTCCTCCAGTAGTTTGCGAAGATATAGCCCTTCTTTGGTTGCTGAGCAGAGTGCGATATATTCTGCTTCTGCTGACGAGAGAGCAATTAGCTCTTGCTTGTTCGACTGCCATGAGATAGGCCCGATAGGTTCGAGTCTGTAGACGTAGCCGGTTCGAGACCGTCTGTTGTCTGAGTCTCCAGCGTGATTGGCGTCGACGTAGCCGATTAGCTTAGGTGTTGCGGAGCTGGTTTTGTGGTAGGTGAGTCCGATTGTCGGAGTACTGACGAGGTAGTGAAGCGCTCGGTCGAGTTCGAGCAAGTGATCTGCTTCAGGCTTCTTGAGGTAGGTAACGAGTTGGCTGGCTGAGTAGGATAGATCCGGTCGGCAGGCGACGGCTGCGAAGAGTAGGCAGCCTAGCTTCCTTTGGTAGTCGCGGACGCCAGCAGGTTTGAGTAGGGCAGAGGCCTTCCGATTTCCGTCGGTGTAGCGATATGGCGTGGAGATAGTGGTTGGGGTGAGTCCGAAGTGTTTAGCAATAGTGTCCGTGTATTTTGCAGCGCTGAGGTAGATGGCATTGTTGCCGTCTTCGATGTTCAGTCCTAGATACTGTGTCACGGTGGTTGCGACGGTGAGAGTTAGATCTCCCTGCAGCTCCCCTTCAAACCACGTTGTTACCGCGTCGGTGGAGCCTATATAGAGAAGATCATCAACGTAGACGATAAGTAGGATTTAGTCGGTGCCTTTCGCCAATCGATACATCCCTTGGTCGTGTGGTAGCTGGAGAAATCCGATGCGAATGAGGCGGGCGTGAAGGTGCTGCTGCCATAGTCTCGGGGCTTGCTTAATCCCGTACAGTGACTTCTCCAGTTGACAGATTTGGTTGGGCCCTGCGTTGGATCCGTGTGGGAGTTCGACGAAAATCTCAGCGTCGACGGGGGTGTAGAGGAAGGCGTTGGCGACATCAATTTGTCGAAGCTTCTTTCGGTTCATGGCGGCGATTGCGAGGAGAATCCGCAGTGAGGTATGTCGGCTTACTGGGGCGAATGTTTCCGTGAAATCTCGCCCTTGCTCTTGGTCGAAGCCCCGCACGACCCAGCGTGCTTTGAACTTGTCGATTGTTCCGTCGGCTTTCGTTTTCACGCGGAAGACCCATTTTCCCGTGAGGATAGTTTTGTTGCGTGCCACTCCGATAGGCACGACTTTCCAGGTGTTGCGTTCCTGCAGCGCCTTCAGCTCTTTATCCATGGCTTCACGCCATTTTTCCCTGTGTTCCCCCCCCAGAGCCTGCTGAATTGTCGTAGGCTCCTTAGGTGGTTCCGCTCCGTGGACGGCGGTGACAAGTCCCAGTATCTGCAGGCCACTCTGTGTGTAGCGGGGAAGATTTGTGTCCTCTGGATAAGCTGCTTCGTCTCCTGCTTCGGGGTCTGGTAAGAAATTTGGTCCTATGCGTTCGGAGATGTTGGTGTTGACCGGTTGAGGTGTAACGTAACCGGTGTCGGCGAAGTCGAAATAAGTTTCGGCGTTGACACTTTCGCGAGGATTTTCGTCATCCATCGGGATAGGCACGGAGCAGTATGGGAGTGGTCCTGCTTCTTCGGATGCGTTGTCCATGTTTTGCTCATCCCAGTCAGCTTCGTCTGCTGCTGAAGCAAAGGCTCGGTTGCCACGGAAGCCGCCCATGAGGTCTCGACTTGCTGCCAGGTTGTCCAGGTTCGTTTGAAGTGTGAGTCGCTCGTAGAAGATGACATCACGTGCTGCCACTATTTCCTTCGAGTGGACGTAAAAAATCTTCCATGCGTTGTAATGCTTTTCGATGCCCAGGTGTAGTCCCCACTGTGCGCGTTGAGAAAATCTTCCGGCTCTTGCAGTGTGTGGGCGATACTGTACCATGCACCCGAAGACTCGTAACATTTTTGTGTTGCCCAACTTTCTTGTCCACAGCAGGTGCGGTGATGCGTTGTTCGGAAGTGACGACGACGAAAGCAAGTTGTGCAGCATGACAGCGTGGTCCATCGCCTCAGGCCACTGGTGATTGGGCAATTGCATGCCACGCAGCAATTTGCGCATGGTGTTCTGGAGAGTTCTATTCATCCGTTCTGCCACGCCTTGCTGTTGATGGGCGTAGGGAAGCGAAATGAGTCGCTTGATGCCTCGTGTTGCGAGGTACTGCCTGAACCTCTGGGACTAATGTTCCCCTCCTCCGTTAGACTGGAAGCTTTTCAGCTTTGCGCCCGATTCTCGTTCTGCCACAGGTAGCCAGGCAACGAAGGCTTCGAAGGCCATGTCGCGACTTGGAAGATTAAGGTGCCAGGCGTAACGGGTGGCGGCGTCGATGAAAGTGATTACGTAATTATACGCGCCTTGTCCTTGTTCGCGAGTATACAGAATGTCGCTGTATACTTTCTCGAGTGGTGCATAAGCTGGCGCACTTGGATTGTGGTGAGAGGCGAACGGTTGATGCGGTAAGTCGGCTTCGGGACAGGTAAAGCATGTTCCGCGGACTCGTTGGAGTTCTCTGCCATCGGGTAGAAGGAGTGAGTCTTTGTCGAGCACTGCTGCCTTGATTGTGTTGTTTAACGTGGTGTTGCTTGGATGTCCTAGTCGTTCGTGCCACAGGGACTCACTTGCACGATGTCCGGGTGAGCGCCTATACAGGTCGGAGTTGGAGTAAAAACCCGCGGAGAAGTTTGCGCTTCTGTGTACTTCACGTGGAGTGGGAGTTAGCTGCTGCGCAGGAGTCGGTGGAGTGTTGTCGATGAGTGTTGGTGCCGTCGAAGAGCTTGCAATTGGGGTTGTAAGTGTTGTTGGTGTTGCCGATGTTGACTCTGCTGCTGTCGATGTTGTCGCTTCTTGTCGGATTTTTGCTAATGCCCGCGTTCTTTCTGCTTCAGGGATGGTATGTGAGTACCAGAACCCTCCGGGGCTGAAGTCAGGATTGAGGTCCGGTGGATGCGTCCAGGAGGCGAAGTTGACGATGCCGTCGCTATCGGCCGTTCCTTGATCTGGTACAAAGTCGAGGACGAAGACGTTATTTTTCAAGACTGCTTTGCCGATGTAGAGCCCTCCTCGACCGTGGAAAAGCTTGAACTCCTGTGTGGTACTGTCTGCTTCAAGATGGATCCCCTTCGCCATCAGTTGGCTGACGCTCAGTAAGTTGTAGCCAAGTCCTTCTGCAATCAACACTTTGGACATTTGCAAGATGACGTTAGTCTCTCGGGATTGAAGTTGTACTACGCCTTGTCGTCGTGTGTGCAGGTTCTGGTTGTTGGCCACAGTGATGACGACTTCGCGCTGAAGTTGATGCTCTTGTTGGACAAAACGGCTCGAGGAACACATATGTTGTCCGCAGCAACTGTCCAAGAACCAGGTGTCTTGCCCGGACGGCTCGCTTTGGGCGATAGCTGCATACGTTGGATTCGGCTCCAATGAGTGGCGGCGGGGAGACTTTTCATCGAGTTGGTCTTCTGGTGAGTAGTAGGGTGGTGATCCGGTGATGCAGGAATCCCTTGTCCTTGTCATGCAGCTGACGATATTTCTTGTTCCTTGTGCAGATTGCGATGAAGATGTTGAAGGCTGCACTTCCGTAGAGGCTACTTGACTGCTTGACGGCCGAAGTTGACGTTGCGGTGTTGTCGACTGCTGCTGATTCGAGCAGTGTGTGCGTGGATGGCCGGACGTCTTGCAAAGGTGACAAAACGGTGGGACGTATTGTTATACCTGTCTGTTGTTGTGTCGGTTGTTGTTGTTGTAGCGTCGTTGAGTATGAAAGGCGAACTCCGGTGCTAATGCTTTCTTCTTATGTCGTTCTTCGTGCAGGTCCATGTCTTGCTGTTTAGCGTGGATTTCGGCGCAGAGTGCTGCTTCGGAGATTTTCCCGTGAGCCCGAAGAAGTGCTCGAGTGGAGCGCCAATGAGGACCAAGGCCGGCGATGATGACTGTTACAAATGCTTCTTCCGAAATTGACCCTCCGCATCGAAGGAGTCTGTCGCGCAGTCCGCGACAACGGCTAATATAAGCCA